GTTGAGAGGACTTCCTGGCAGCTGGTCCAGTGGCTGGAGAACCAGAGTTAGGAAAGGGGTGACCATCCCAGACTGAACAAGACTAGTCTGGGTGGGAGAAGCATAGGACTGGGTGTCATGATCTTTGCTCTCTACCAATCACCACCACAGAAGTGCCATGTGATCAATTTCTCTTGCTAGAAAATGGGCCCATGCATGGGGATGGGTTGTGAGGCTCCATCAGTTAACATTTCTCTAAACTCCTGCCAGCTATTCCCGCCCCAGAGTGCCCGCCCTACTGCTACAATTGCTTGGATTCAGACCAAGGTGAGTCACATCTGCAAGAGCAGATCCTGCCAGAGGCGAGAAGGGGGACAAGCCCAGCTGATCTACTTGGATCTGGGTCAGCAATCCACCCCGAAGTTCTGAAAGTGTCTGGCACATTTGTACCCATCCCCTGAGCAGCTAAGATCTTGAGGGGAGACACTGGTATACAAAGGTGCCTAAAGATGCAGCTAGGGACCTAGTGGGGTTTACGAAAGCACCTAAACAGGTTAGGCACATAGGTATTTAGGTGCCCAATGCCCACTGATTTCAAGGCACCTGAGGATCTGGATCGTAACTCCTGTTGAGACTGTCTGGCTACAGTTCTCTGTGCTGTCCTGGTCTCAGCGCCTGATTGGATTAGGGATGTGCTCACCTTGCGGCTACTCCCAAACCAGACTCAAACATCAGGGGGTGTCAGATGCAGCTGCTGGTGATCGTTCCATCACCGTGCACGTCATGCTGTGCTCTAGAGACCATGTGGCCTTTTCTTGGTGGATTACAGCATACTGGTATTTGACACACAAAACCCTGTCTACTCTGAGGCTTGCAGAGGCTCGACACCCCCCCCCCATTGGGCTCAAGTGTGAGCCTCATGCTTAGGTCTATATGGCTCAGGAAAGAGTCATTGAATCCTACTTGCTGCCAGACCTCGCATTGGACGTACTGAAAGGCTCGGCTCTTGGCTTGGGTTTTTGCAGCTGGGTGAGAGGAGGAGTTTGGTTGGACGCTTTTTTTTTTTAATTGGTCACTGAAAAATATGTTAAAAAAACCCAACACCTTGCTGTAAGTGCCCCCAGAAGGCTCCCTAGTGGGCACCGTTTCCAGCAGAATACACAAATGGGGGTTTGCCCTCACTGATCGTTGTAGTACAGAGTACTAGGAAAGAAAGTGCCGTTGTGAGCTATTTTCCATGGTACCACAAGAGGGCAGCAGTAACACACACAACACAAAAAGAGGGGGCTTTCAGTCCTTGCAAGGACACTGTTAATTGTCTTTTTAATGCCAAGGCCAGACTGAAGGCAGAAGCAGCATGGGGTGTGCAGTTCAACGAGAATGCTCCAGAACACGGGGCCTGCCAACACATGCACTTTCCTGAGAAGTCTGGCTCGCAGCAGGCATGCCACATTGGACTGGAAAGGGGTGAAGAAGATTCCAGACTGAAGCCTTTTTGAGCTCAGAAAGGGGGGCCCTGATAATGTGATAGAACCTCTCCCCAGCCTGGCATAACAGCCGCCTCTCTGACTAGGAGGAATTTAAGCCCAGGCTCGTGCTTAGTGGCCATTTACTGATGGACAGCCCTCCCCATCGCATCAACCCTCCAGGACAACTGGCCTGCTTGTGAGCAGTCACAGACAGCTGTGATTCCAAAGCTGAAGATCCCCGTAAGGCAGGGATCTAGCTTCCTCCCAAAGCTAGCAAATGACCCAGCACCAAAATTCCTGATGACGCCAGTGGGACCTTTCCCTTTAACTAGGATGCTCCTAGGCTAAACCAGCCAGCCAGTTTTGCAGTATGAGTTGAAGGTCAAACTCAGCCTTTAGTGCAGAGGGAGTAGGCGATCTGACTCCCCGAGAAGCGCTGCCCCTGGAACGCAGGTAGGCTTGAGGTAGTGTGGTATGCAGCGGGCTTGGACCACCACTGCCTGTTGGTAGCTAAAGCAGAGGTTTCAATCGTGCGGCTCACAACCGTCCCCTTCCCATAATGCTAAGTAGGAGGTGTCCTGGCTAGATGGACAAGGGGAAGAGGATGAGAACCCCTGGGCTATAAGCTTGTCTCCAGGGCTGTCAATGAAGCATCATTCACCAGCATTCCACTCACCTAGAAACCATGCCCTGCACACTACCAGTGCAATTACATTACTCTGGTACCCTGAGGCCCCAGCCGAGATTGGGGCCCCATCGTGTTGGGTGCCATCTACTTGCCCCAAAGAGCTTCACCAGGATGGGCAGGAAAACAGGGGCACAGGGCGGTACAGTGGCGTAATCACTGCCTCCGGCAGGTGACAAAATGTCACCTTGGGTAAGATGGATAAGCTGAAGGCCTTTTGGAATACATCCTGGGCCAGCTCCTCCTCGGCGATTGCACCGCCCAGTATGCTGTATTAGGAGCAGTGCAGGTGTAGAGGGCGCCAGGCTTGCTGTGCCCTGTGCTGCTGGAGCCTAGTCTAATCAGCCTCTATTTCACACCTGTTACAGAGAAACAAAGTCAAAACCTCAGGCCTACCTCCCCACCCCCTTGTTTTGCTGCATTTCCAGCATGGGCATCGCAGAACCCTCGACCACAGGGACAGCTCACATTCAAGAGCATGCTAGCACCTGATGCCAGTGGGACGCTACCTAAAAGCTGCCATCATAGCAACAGGTTGGAACAGGTGCAATTCTCCAAGGAGGTAATCACAAACGAAGACCGGTTCAACAGGAGCAAGCATAGGCTCAAGGGTGTGAAAATTAATATCCCAGGTATTACAGGCCCCCACAAACCGAGAGGCTTTTTTAAAAATCATGCATTCCTCTTTTATTAATCTGAAAAACGCTCCCTGCTACTAGGTTGTAGCTTTTCTTGTTGACAAGAAGCCGCCTCTGCAGCGTGTCACTGGCTAACTCTGCCTGAACTGCCAGTTGGAGGCATAGTGGTAATCAGAATGTAGCTCCATGTAAACACTGAAATGGGCTAAAACTGTTTACCAGGACAGTCGAGAGCAGCCCTGTGCTGTAACTTTACCTGGCGTATTATGTAGGTTATTTTGGGTTTGAAAAGCAGTTTGAAAATAGGAGGCCATGCTATAAAGCTGGGTAATTTACATGCGACTTACCTGGCGCATTCGGACTGTGCTGGCTTTGGGGCACGTGCGCCTGAACTTTGACCCGGCCCCAGGCCACGAGCCCGCTTGGCACAGGGTTTACATTTCATGGGTTAAAGTGACTCTCCTTCCAATTTGCCAACTGCTTCCAAATGGAGATTCTCACCCCCAACCACACACATAGCCCCACCTCTCCTCTCCCGGTCGCCCACTGTATGATTCTCGGGACTTGTCTACCCGGTGATTTAGTGTACAGCAAGCCAAAGTGTGAATCTACAGCGCAGTAGCATGCGGGCCATGTGGACCCAACTACCGCACACTGGAAGTTTCATAGTGTGCTTTGACGTACTAGTGTTTCAAACAGTCGTGGTCCCCTCCTAAGAGATTGCCTAGTTGGGGCATGATGCTGGGAATGCTCTGCCCCATATATCCGGCAGGCGCAGACACATTAGGAGGAAGCTGCTGCTGGGGATAATGCACTTTCTTCTCCCAGATTAACAATCCAGCATCAATTCAGGCACTGAAATGATGCATTTCCCTTATTCCCTATCATTTTCTTTTGCATCAGTCCCCATTCACAGGACGGTTTGATCTCACAATCCTCCTAGTTAAGTTCATCAATGTCCACTAATCATAAAATTGCCAGTGATGTCTGAGAGCAGAAACTGAAGGCACGGTCTGTGCAAGATTTAAGTTTACTAAGGGAATGAAGATTGCTAATGATAAGAAATGTAACAGGAGCTGTGAATGAGTTTGTGTGTGTTTGGAAAAGCCCTTTGCAGCAGAAGCGCCCTGTGGACAGTAGATAGGCCCACACTGAGGAAGAAGGCCCCAGACAGGAACAGTGTGTGGGGCTAGCCCTGCCCCTCTGGCCCTATCAATCATGTATGGTAGAGAAGAGGTCTTTAAAAAGAAGGAAATGGCTGCAGTCAGCTATGGAGAAGATCACCCTGGGTAGTAAATGGGTGGAGTGATTCCTTAAGCCACAGGTGGAGCTCCCAGCCAGAAGATCTCCACCCAGACTCTACAGGGAGTGCAGCAGACTCCCAGGGTAAGCCCCACAGAGAAAGCCCCATTCAACCACCCAGCCAGAAGGACTCCTTGAAAACAGCTACACAGACAGCCCTGAAGTATGAAAGTACTGTTGGCCTCTTTCCCTTTCAGTTGGCTCTGGGAAGTCATTCTTGGGTGTGCTGGGACATTTAACTTCCTTTGGATCCCCATCAAAAGAGACTTAAGGTGGCCCACAAGGGCAGGGTCCCCCTTGCAAGAAATAAAAAAAAGTGAGGCCTGTGTATAAGCCACCTAGTGGAAATAACTGGCTGTGGCCAGGGTTTCCTGTGGCCTGGGAGAAAAGCTTAAGGTCACTCTCTTACACTTGATGTTAGCCACTGTAGCCCAAACACAGCCCCAAATACAGCATTTTAGTCTCTAGTAAACTCAAGAAAGAGACATCTTTAGTGATCATAGCTAATGCCTCTCTTCCTGGAGTTTGTGAACACGGTGGACTATGTTAAGTGCTAGTCTATTCAGTATAACTCCCATTTTCCAGAGGGTTTTGGACATACCCAGTGGAGCCTGGATAAACTAACGTCTGTGCATTGCTATCCAGGGAAATGAGTACGCTTAGGTTAACCACTGGTTGAATGAACAGAGACAATCCTAGTGTGGAGGGGGGAATCTGAAGGAAGACCTGGTCATCAGCTATAGTTTTCACCTTATTTGGAGGAAGCATTGAGGATCGAAGAGTCCAGAGAGAATTTAGTATGGCAGTGCTGATGAGACCTTTGTTCTGCTGCCGTTGGCTTGCTGGCAATGGGCTTTTACACTGCAGTCTGTCACTTGCTCACATTTTTAAAATAAGAGGGGAAAAACACAGCTGAAAGCGTTTCCATTCTTTGGACGGTACGAATGTTTTAATTCAGAAATTTGCTTTTATTACATTATGTAATATCAGACTATTTTACAAGTTTAGGATATGAGAATGTATAGACCACTACACAGAAATCCAGAGAAAGCATAAAAACTAAACATGGGAAAGGAAAAAGTGAACTTAATCCAAAACAAAGTGCCGAGAGAAGGTGCAAGTGGAAATGAGTGATTACTTACCAAGATCCAGAGAAGTACAAAGGATGAAACTAACATAATTTACAGTATTGGTTCTGCACAACCATTTTTACAGAGTCTTTATTTCCCCCCATCACTGAGCTGATGGTTGCGTCTCTCAGGGTTGGGTTTGGTCGTAGGGGAAAACCAAATAACTGATGGGCAAACGTCACAACCCCCGGTGAGCTGGTCCCCAGGCTCACACCTACAGGAAGAGTCTTCCACTGGATAGGCAAGGGGTTCTGCACCAAGAACTGTACGGAGGAAAACTAAAAACAGCCCCCAAAAGCCCCCTTATCTCAAACGTAGAAAAGTCTCACTCTGGAAGTGCTTACAAGGAGGTCATCATCGAAGAACTTTGTTTCTATAATAACGTTACCACTGTGGAGGGAAATTGAAAGGAAAGCAAGGAGATATTAGACAAAAGCAATTACAGAATACTACAGATAACAGTGCTCTTGCTGGCTTGAGCTAACTCCCTGTCCCCACAATACCCGCTGCCTTTTATTTAAGAATATTTATTGCAAGCATTGAATAATGCAAACGGTAGCAGCACTGTAACCCGACGCCATCAGCAATGGACTATAAGGGAGGGCTGTTCTTTACAAAGTGCTATCAGCCTTATTTTCCACAGACAACGAGACTTGCCCATTGCATTCCTACAGGGAGCTGCTCCCCCATGTCAAGATGAACCGTTTCTGTTCACTGGGTTGAATGGCACACTGGCTGTGTCACAGGGCAGAGCAGGGAGGGGATGTATATGATACCCATGAATGGTTAACTTCTGCACAATGTTTTTGAAGCCATAGGTAAAGTTGTAGCGTGGCTGGTCACCTTGTATTACTCATTCTCTACTGGGAGACATGAAAAGCAGCACCACACTTCCTACGCTGTTATTCCTCTCCATGTCCCCATATGCCCTCTAGCAGTCGATGTGATTCTCCCAAGAAATGCTTAAAAGCAAGTGTCTTGTCTGAACCGCAGTGGAAAGATCTAGTGTCCCACATGGAATATAGACTTTGAGTATGACTGCACACTTTGCTGGTCCAAGTTGGTTTTCTGTGTTCTGTGTACTAAAGCAGAAGCATTGTATACTAATGCTGGGTGTGCTGCAGAGTGAGAGATGCTGCTACTCATCAGCGTATCCAATGCAGCGAGGCGGTGGTGGTCGGCAAGAGCTGGGATGCAGCTGCTCTGCCAGCCCCACTGGCAGGAGGAGGTGATAGTCTACTCACCCCACCCCAGAGAGGGTTGGGTTGTTTTCAGACCTGACCTGACACTTGAAGTTGGGTCCAGCTGGGTTTGGCTCAGGTTTCAAGGCTCTAATTTTAGGAGGCCTTTGGAGAGTGGAATGGAGAACTGAGAGGCCTAGTAAGATTGGTGAATCTGGAACCTACAGAGAACTGGGGGGTGGAAAATGCTCGTGTACCCTTGCCACCCTCAGTAGGGCTCAGTCCTGAAAACTTTCTGCTTCCTGAGGTGGGGAGAATTGTGTCTCATCCAGTGAGCTTTTGTCTTTATTCTGGTTTTGCAGTCTGGCTTCCCCGGTGCTCACTGGGAGCTGGGTTTGCTTGCAGTGCCCACAAAAAGGGCTCCCAGGTAGCACTGCTCTAACCACTTCACTTATTGTTCCCTCTTCATAGTCTTTCCTCTTTCTGAAAAGTGCTGTCAAAGACTTTTGTGACATCAAAGATGGTGGCTGCAACCAAAGCTCCCTCACTGTATGTCTAGTTTCCACCAGGGCAGGGAGGGAGCAAGGTGAAGTTTGACAAGAAGGATCTTCTAGGAGCACACCAATCTTGGTGTGACCAGGTTCCTGCTATCTGCCTAAACTCCTCCTGTCTCTGCTGGTGACAGACAGAGAGAAATGTTTTGCCAGCACATATCTAGCCTGGGGACACCTCCTATAGGGATGCTGGCCTTTTTCAGGGATTTACTGCTTGCCAAGGGTCTGCCTCTAGGCTTCTCTTCCATCAAACCTCCCATTCAAAGTGACGCCCTGGTACTCACTAGCCTGATCTAAGTCCATAAATTGCTGATTTCCTCTGACATCAACGTGTAAGGAGTCAATTAGAGGGCTTTTATTTTGTTCACATGCTATTTTGCATAACTACACTATTTTATATCCAAAAGAGGGTAACATATTTGAAGCCTGGCAAAAGAGTATAGTGTTAAACGAGCACCAGAAGCCAACTTCAGGTCACAGAGGTCCCCTGCGTAACACCACCTGAATCAGGTCTGCAGGGATCTCAGAGCAAGAGCCAGTCAGTAACAGCTGGCTTTATGGGAATGCACTGAGTAGCTGCTTAGCCTGGATGTTGAGGGCATTAGAACAGAATTTTTAAAACTCCTTCATAGTCACCTTTAAAGGCAGCTCCAGTATTTAACATAGAATCAATTCCAGTTTCTCAAAAGTCTTAGCAGCTCTATTAAAGCAAATTAGACCTATGGGAAAGAGGGAAATGGGGAAGTCCCTCAAGAGCTGGCAGTATGGAACGTGAAAAAGTCAGTATCAACTCCCCTCCTCTTTCACATTTTGAACAATCCTCCAATTTTACTCTTCTGCACCCATGGAAATGCCAAGACCTGCTTCCCCCTTCCCTGTTCCTCCCCCAACCCCCTGCCCCCGAGTGTTCAGATTCTCTAACCCTAAGCAACTCACGTTAAAACATTAGCTGGCATCATCTGTGATTCTGGTGCTGCCTCTATCAAGGACTGCCAAGTGTTTGTGGAGTTAGGGATCACAAAGCCAAATTCAAAGAACCATTCTGTGAAGTGAAAAAGAGATCCAAAAGCTTTTTATGAAAACCACATTGGTCCTATTGCTCTTTACCTGACTGCACACCCAACTCCTAAAGCGGTCAGTAACTGACACACCTTATGCTCTGTCAGCAGGTTGTATGTAAACTCAGAAGAAGGGAAATGCTATGTAAAAACTAGGATTGTACAACTCAACCTGCACTAAACACCCTCCCTGCCTCCACTATGCCCTTGAGGAACAGATCGGAAGAGCAATGGCACTGTCATGCCACTTTTCTTGTGATTAACTCAGCAGAAATTGGGCCAAGTTAGATTTCATTGTTTCTAACCAATCTTTAGAGTGTTCTAAATCCTCCCCCTCTTCAAAAAACTTCCCTGTGTAAGAAAGCTCAAGGTAGGGGCCTAATGAATAAAACAAGGCAGCAAGGGTCTGAACTCTTATACCCCCTAGATTAAGTGTAATATTACAACAAGGCATTCTAGATCATGCTGTCACATCTACAAGTCGTGCTTGCGTAAGCGTTAATACGCTTCTGAAATGGTCTCTTTAATGCTCTGGCCCATTAGGTCCGACTAACACTCCACCTCCACGTTACTCTTAAAAATTAAAAAAAATGGTCAGCCCATCTCATTACCCACAATCCCAGCATTTTACAAAGTTTCAGTTCACCACATTCTAGTACAGACTGTGTCCAGAGAATGGAGCGATACCTTCTAGACACTGCCCTTTGAAATAAACTTTCTGTTCCAGTCGGAATTTTTCCATTTGTTCTGCTGAGGAGAAGTTTAGCTCCCGAGACACGGCTTTGCATTTCAGAATTTTCTTAGGAACTCGAGCTGTGGAAGTAAATCAGACAACCATTACTCTGACGAATAATAAAACAAACCCTGCGCTATTCTGGCATGCTCTGAAATGCTAACCCAATGCAGAGGCTCTGAGCACAGTTCAGGCCAAAAAAGCAACTAAAAATGTGAGTTCCGTTTTACAGAAGTGAACACTAAGGCACAGATAGCTTTAACCTAATCCCTTGCCCAGAATCTCAAAGCAAGACTGTGGCACAGCCAGAAAAATACCCAGGTCTCTTGACTCCTCATTCCTGGTAAAGTAGTACTGAAGCCCTGTTACCTCAGGCTAAAATGTGACCTGCAACATTACAAATTACTTAAGAAAATGTGCTAAACATGGCAAATAGGCAGAGGGATACTCTGCCCATTAAATAGTACCCTTTCCTCCTTCGGCTCCCCTTTTCAGGCTTTGTGTCGTGATCAAACCCCAAACTCCCATTTCCCAACCCAGCAAGTACAATTCGGGTGATTTCACATGGACCCTGGGAGCCATTCTGTAAGTGCACAGGAAGTGTCTGGTTCACAAAATACCTATCCCAATAAGGGCAATACAACTGTACATTTTTAGAGACAAAATGGATTTGGCATGCTCATGTGGCTGGGCTCCCATGGTGGGTATGACACTACCAGCAAATGGAAAACTGTAGCTGATTTTGTAAGATCTTTAGGGGAAGAGGAGGTAGTCTGGGAGAATCAGTTATTGTGCTGAAATGTCCCAGTAACAAGGATAAAAGGGCATATTCAGTACACTAACACACTACCAAGCCCTTCACTCTTAAGTGGTGTGATTATATATCCTTACAGTGTACTAGAAAGTGTTTTCATGTAAATTTCTATTTTATGAGCAGAACTGCTCCTAAACAGAAAGCCTATCAAAATGTCCATGAGCAGACAGCAAGTTGCTGTTTAATAACAGGAAAAGCCCATCAAACCCCAGGTAAATCCATTTAATGTGCAATAGTTTAATGGACTGGGACTTTGATATGATGCTGATCTAGAGAGCTACAGGGGACCATGATGTAAGCTACCACTTTGTCCCAGGGAGGAGCACCGATCCCATGATTTAAAAAACAGAACCACAATGGAGCTGCTTGAAGTTTTACCCCCCTAATCCACTAATAGTTTTAAGCTATTTTCACTGCATAACACCAACATCCACCTCTGTTCCTTGCAAGTACAGACTGCAGCCTATTGTGAATATGGCCTGCCCATTTAATGATATAGTACTTCATTAAATCATTGTGCATTGTATTTATTTGGGCCTTAAGACATAGGGTGTTTTTCTGTTAATGACTGTAAATGTCTTAAAATTACTCAATAGTCTGTATTTTGCACAGCTGACCTTTGGAATCTTTTGCTATATATCTGACTCTATGGTCATCATGACCAGGCTGTGACTTGCTGTGAAGTGCCAAGACAAAATAATAGCTGTAATGATATTAGTACTATACACTTCTGACGCAGGATAGTCTGAAAGACATGGGAGACTGTTTTAATTAAGTCCCAGTTTACCTGTGAAGTAGGCAAATATTATTGCGGTTTTATACAGCAGGGAAATCTAAGGTGCAGAGAGGCAATAGGACTTGCCCAAGTGATAGAGCGGGGAATAGAACTCATGAGTCCCAATCTTCTCTTCTATCCACAAGAAAAAAAAACACTCCACCCTGTAGTCTACAGAAGGTACATAGAGCCAGGGAAGTGTAACAGTCTGTCTATATACAATGAAGGAAGAAGACTCAAAAGCTACCAGTGCCTCTAGGGAGAAGTTGTAAGAGGAAGTCAGAGAACAATGGGAACAAATGCCTCAGGGTTTACATTTTCTGCTTCCTGCAGCCCAGTGTCTTACTTCTCCCTGGGCTGCTATTAGCTACTCTCCTCTCTTTCGTGCTCCTTTCTTGCCTTCACACCCAATATTACACAGTGGCTAAAAAGAGGGCAAAGCAGCACTACCCCATAGTTTAAGCAACAAAGCACCAGGCTGCAGAATTACCTTGTTTTATTTAAAGCTGTGTTTCAATTATTTTACTACAGTTGTATTTAAAATTGCTGGAAACTTTCCCTTCACAGCAGGCATCTGAATAAACCCTGTTCTACAGAGTTCTGATGTATTGTTAAATATTTCCTTGGTTTCAGAACAGGACCCGTATATGTTCAGTTGTGTTTGTAATAATGGCATTTCCAGTTTTTTCCTAGGTGTGCAATCCTAGCAGAGTATGTCAGTAGGTATGTTAACAGGACTGCAGCTATTTGCTGCTAAAAAGCACTGGAGTGAGACCAGGAGAGACTTGTCAGGCCCAAGTGGATGAGCTCAGAAGAGGCCAGATTAATGTTTTAACACAGTGCTTCTCTTATCTAACTCTGCATTTCAAGTCAGACTCTCAACATTCCCATTACAGCATCAGGCCTCTCTTGAGCAGAGACTATCATGCCCCACTGTGCACTGTTTGTGTGAAGTGGAAGAGTGTCCATGAGGGACCTGATTAGGAGTAGCAAGTCCATTTCATTTGTGACCCAAACTAGCTTTGAAACCAAATCTCTGTAGCTGAAAGACAAGAATTTATCCTGTGTCCTCCCCAGCCCTGAACTGTATTAAACAGCTCCAATTCTCCATCCTCTCTACCCTGACAGCATTACTACTTAAACAAAAAAACCCTCACTTTACAAAGGAATAATATAAGAGTTGGATCCTGCTGCCACTCTCTGGTGCCATGTGCCTGCTGCCCTTGCATGGTAGGAGATTTTATAATTCACAGAAAGATGAATGCCCTCGTATCCCCAAGCAGGATTCGGCCCTTGTCGTTTAAGCAAAAATTCATAAGTAACACTGAAGTAAATGGATGACCAAGGTCACGCCACTCTTCATAGACCATTTGCATGGTGCTCACATTATCAGAAAAGCCTTTGGAGTGAATTCGCTGAGGCCATGCTGTTCTATGCATAGCCAGTGTGACAAACAGTCTATATTGCGGTAAGCCTGCTTTCAATTACTATCCCTTTCCGACATGTTTCCACACCAGCATGGGATATTAGATATCAAAGCAGAGTAATGGACAATGGAATACTTTGCTAGGCCTCTAGGTACAGATACCAAAGGCAGAAAGGGAAGAGAAGCCACAGACAGAAGTGGAGAGCACAGAAGGGTCCCATTTACCATTTCAGCACTAAATTCTCCCAATGCTTTGCAGAAAGTAATAGGACTGGTCAAGCTGGCAGAGGGCCAACAGTGTGCACATTTCCCCATGTAGCTCTCCCACTGTGCCTCAACTGTGATCAATACAACTACTAGCCCAGTCCTAGTCACACTATGTGATAAGGCTTTTTCCCCCCCCAAAGGATTAAGAGGAAAAGTTTGACAATCAGGTGTGCAGAAGTAAATTAACCCACTGAGCTCCTTGTATTCAGTCTTAACATCTCTCCTTTGCCTGCAGCTGACTCACCTGCTCCTTGTGCTGTAGAATCAAAGTCCAAGCAAACGGTCTATCCTTCAAAAGCAGTGCCATGCTGACTGCAGTCATGCCCCATAGATACTGTATTACCCAACCCAACAGTGAGGCCACACCTTACCTTCATGCTCCACCCCAGGTACAGACAGATCTTCTGTTCCTTGCCAGAGGATTTTCCCCGTCTCTGCATCCCGAAGGTTCATCCAATTTCTGATTGGAGGTGATTAAGGAAACGAACTGTGCTTTTAGACGCTGTGCCCATCAGTCTTTGCCTAGCACTGAAACAGGCTACTCAGAATTAAGCAGGAGTTATACTAAAACCTTACTTTGACACGCCATGTATTTGGACCTACAGCGCCAACGAGGGGAGATGTCCCGCTCATGGTTTAAGAACAAACCAACATTAGACCAGAGTCAACGCAACAAGTGAAGGACATCCACTCTAAGTTTTTCCTTAAAACTGATGCTCTTGGGCCTTGTGCACTATATTCTACTGGATCAGGTAAACATCACTGTACTGCAGGGAAGCAAGCAGCAGCATTAGCTTCTATAGCAGATAATTCTATAATACGATTCCTCATCACCATTCCCCCAGCTCTCAAGAGGAATGGGGAAAGGAGAAACATAAGAGAAACACACCCCATGTGTCACTAGAGAAAGAATGTTGGATCAATTTTCCTGATCTGCAGAGTGTGGTAAAGAACTTTGTTCTGACATTTTTGGCACATGTAACTCTCATATTAACTGGAATTCTCTAAGAACAGCACACCCCTGGTGGAGTTTCCCCAAGGCACAAGAGCTAAACACACCAGTAAGAGGGAGTAAGTTTGTAAGTGTTATGTACCAGACTTCTAATGGTATGGATTGATGTAATACTCATGGAAGTTATATAGGAGTGTGGAATACAGACACTTTCAAAGGCACAAACAGCAATTAGCCTAAGTGTTATTTGTGCTGTTGAAAAGCTTTCCCATTGTCAATGCTGTGCACACACCCATACTCTGGAATTGGGAATCTGCAAAACTATTTTGGATCATCAATATTGTATATCCTGATGAATAGAGTTATAGCTTTCAAAAAGGCTGAAGCAGACTTGCCATACTCCCAAAACCACACTCCCTGCTTCCACAGCTGATCATAGGGGCACTCATGAAGTCACCAGCATTTACATGCTGAAGTATTGGAGAGTAGCAGGACCTCTGCCCTTTAGAAGATAGCTGCAGTGTGAACCTATGGAAAAACAGCAGAAAATGCCATTAAGACTTTTGCAGCATCCTCTCTAGGTACTGGTTAATTTGTCAGTGTCCACTATGTGCTTGGCACTTTCCAGGCATTCAAGAAGGGACATCCCCTGTTATGCAAAGCGTGCATTCTAAGACAGCGGTTTGGGGGAAGAATAATAATTAATCAGGTTATTTATACAAGTCAAAGCTATTCACTGTAGCAGCACAGCAGAGGTGGGTCTTTAGGAGTGAGCCAGAGGGGGCCTTGTGGATGAACTCAGAGGTTATGCTAGGTACAAAGGGCTGCCTCGAAGAAGGTGATTGTGCGAGAAGCTGACAAACAGGCAGATGAGGGTGGGAAAAACTGGAGGAGAGTTGGGCTGGGGGGTAACATGAAGCTTGACATGGGAGGATAAGCAGAATTATATGCATGTATTTATTTTAGTTTCTCATGTACTTAATCTCTGGGCAGATTCACAAAACTCTTAATCTCTCTATTGCTCAGTGACAGTACTGGAAGTACTCAAGGTGTTTCTGGAGCCCGGGAAGAAAACACATGCTTTAGCAGCTTTTATTTTACTTAGTTATGTATGTTTGTTTGAAAATTGTGTATGTGGAGGAGGGAGGAAATTGAGTTAAGATTTCTAACAATTTTTAAATATAAAATTTCCAACAGACAACCATAAACAGGGCTAGAAATGAGATATTTGCTTAGATAGCTGTGTGCAATCCAGACACCTATAAACCAGAGGATCACCATGAATGACACCATACTTCTCTATTTTAAGGTACTTCTATGACCCAATTACCACAGTATCTGAGCATCTCACAAGCTTTAACATAGTTATCTTTACAACGCACTAGTGAGGTAGGGAGGTGCAGATTTTAAAAGGTATTTAGCCGTTGCTCCACTCAGCATTGCAAAGCCTACGTGACTTAGGAGCCTAATTTTATTTTCAAAACAGAGTTACGCACTTGAAAGAAAATTCTGAGTGGAACAACTATAGCCTCATAACTCGATTACTGGCATGAACACAACAGATGGATGAATGTGACATTATTACTTTAAGCACAGGGCTATGGGGCTCTACTGACCTTCTATTTTTGGTCAGTAAAAATACTGTGTGGGCATAAAGGACAGAAATTGACAGTCTAAAAAAAGATTTCTCTCTAGTTGAAATCCAAAGTAACTGGTCATTTAAATTATGCCTGCATATTGGACACTGCAATTTATTTTGACATTAAAGGTGTTAGACTTCCAGGCAGTCTCCCTGTCAAATTTCAGTCTATATTGATGTTCCAGTGTAATGATAAAGCCATGTGTGATTGTCTCCTCTGTGCTTTGTATTCTGTCAACCTAAAGATCAATTAGAAGTAAAAAGCTTAACACTAGATCCCGGCTGTCCTGAGTTTGTAGGTCAGCAATTAATGCAATAATTCCTGGCAGATACCTTGTATTTCAACAATCTAGGCTTGAATTGCAGTACCAAATGAATGTGGCTAAAGAACTCCTAGCCATGATGGATTTATGTGTAAACTCAGCACAAGCTCTTGTACACGTCTATGAATGAAAAAATAAATTTAAAAATCAACCTGGCCATAGTTACGAATGCAAAACAGGGTTTAAAAAAACCCGTAAACAAACGAATGGCACCAACTATCCTTTATACACTCAAGCATACTTTAACAGACCATAATACACTAGCCATTTTAGAAAGTTTTCCCCCCCAAGAAGCTAAGCATTATGAAAAAGGAAAAATAATCTATCCCCACATACATACAAAAGATCATCTTGAACTGGACAAAGTCCTTCAAATTCAGATTTTTAATTAAAATTTTGTATTTTTCTTCAACAATCACCAGAGAAATGGGAAAACTACTTCCTAACTCAAAATTTTAGTTCATTTACAGAGATTACTATATTGGGCTAAACGGCACTGGTTAGGGAATACCTAGCAAAGCAGCAGCTACACTGCTGACCTAGTTAGGAGCTTATTGTACTATTTCTGTCATCTTGCATGGAAAGCTTGGTACGAGGACATGCCCCATGGTGAAGAAAATGGAGGCCTTGAACCAAACCCACATGTGCTGTTATCTCCTAATGTGTTTAATTGGTTTAAGATTCTTTCATCCCAGCAGGAGAGATATTGTTACTAAAAATAAAAACCCTCCATCTTCTGAACAGCAGTGGGGACCTGCAGGCAGGATCAGGAGGGCATTTGATGTATCATTAAGCAGAAAAAGCACATTAATATGGGTTTAACACAATCATTCTTCTTGAAGAAAGCCTGTCTCAGAAGTTTGAGAAGGAAACTTGAAGGTGCAAGTTAAAGAGAAGATACAGCCCAGTGAATTATGGCCTCATGAAGCTTAGACAACAAGGAGTAACAATAGTGTTATCTGTAATCTGGTTTCTACATGCAACATCAAAAAGCATAATATCCCTTACCAACACAGAGTTTTCATGCTTCTGTTATTTCCTATAGGATTTAAGACCCAATATGTCAAATCACCTTCAATCCTGGAGGCAGGGAACAATTAGGCAGAACAGCAGAAGGGAGAACTGTTGATCTATTTATATGCCACCACCTGACCAGGTCAGCAAAGTCTTATATAAAAGCCGGAATTTAACTTGCTTTATATACACTTGACAAATTAGCTTCCTCACACGCATACTTTGCTCAGCCTGATAAAGAGAAATAAGATGTTCATTTCCAAATGCAAGTTACATTGTCTTGAACATCTCTGATCTATGTAGAGGAATGTTTCTTTTTATTTTTGTATCTGCCAAAGACAATTTTTTTTCACAAAGTCAGGATGTACTGATTCCTATTTAGACTTGGCATGACAAAAGGCTGCTAATTACGGATGGCATTGAAGGAGGAGGCATTCAGGAGGAATGATTCCTTTATAGTAGGATATGGCAAAAGAAACTATGCCTATCTACGTTGCTATTGTTTGTACTCTGATATTTTCCTCCAGTGCACCTCAAACTCTATTTTGACTACCTCAAAGGCTGTGGCAGCCAAACTGCTGTCATGTCTTCCATGAATACCTAGATCTTTTAGTTTCAGCCTATGCTATCTTGACTGTTCTTCACCCTCTAGGAATTTTTGTACCCTTCTTTATCTTTCATAATGAAAGAACCTAGTTTTTGTAACCACTTTTTGCATACAGTCTTTCTTCCTCTTCCCCAGCTTCTCGTTATCAATACAATACAGCATGCAAAAAGCTGTGCACAACACATCAGGTGTGATCAGGGTGTCAACAAGTATGCAGGAATGAGTATCCTCGAGAATAACTGATGAAATAGAGTGTGACGCCAAAAAGCTTCTACATTAGATTTGTGTAAGCAACCCCTTCCCCAAAGACAAGCTTGTGTTCTAAACCACCCGACTCGATTTTATAATGTTGCCTACAGTGGGAAAGTATAAACAACCAGGTATTCATGGCATGGATCAGCATATTAGATTAGAGGACAACCGTTCAGTTGAGTAGTAAATAAGAATGTTTAGTAGCCTATTTATATCAGATATAGATTTACCAGGTAGAACATTTTTATACTAGATTTTTCCTTTACAGCATTTGATTTTTAAGTAGGTAGCCCTTTGGGGCTTAGAAACACAGGAGATGGTCAGAAGGCTATTGGATTAAAGATTAGTGCACCCAAATGGCCTGTGGCTTCCCCTCCATTCCAGTCACTCACCCTGTAACCTCTCCAATGCACCTGCTGTTACAGCCCCTAGGCCGCAGTTCAGCAAAGTACTTAAGGTACGTCCTACACTGCAACAGGAGATGTGACTGCAGCATGTCTAGATATACCCAAGGTATTTTTGATCTAACTAGCCTGAATAACAATAGCAGTGAAGCCACAGCAGCATGGGTGTACAAGCCCGTCCAGGACCCTGGTTATGTACCTAGTGGCTAGCCCACGCTGGTGCTGCCATGGCTTTGCTGTTATTGCTGTTTGAGCTAGCTAAATTAAAG